GCAAAGAAGGAAAGCCAACGAGCCATTCTCTGAGAGAGGGGAAGCGACGGGGTCGCAGTGCTTAGTGACGCATGATCTGTATCGATCACAAACGGCTTAGAGCCAAGCAGATAAACTATGAATTTGACGAGAGCATACTTTATTGCAAATAGCTCTTTGTCATGAACAGGATAGTTCTTTTCTGCAGCCTTCAGCTGCCGGTTCTCAAACACAATGACGCGTTCCCGTCCATCAGAATCTGTCTGTATCAGAGCGCTGCCTATGACAAAGTCAGATGCGTCACATACGACACGGAAAGATCAATCAGGATCAGGCAAACCCAAGATTGGCGCATGAAGGAGACTCTACTTTACTGCTTGAAAAGCATCATGCTCGGTGCTAGTCCAGCACCATTCCATATCCTTTTTAAGAAGATTGGATAATGGCCGAGCCATATCTGCGTAATTCGCACTGTACTTGTGCAAGTAATTTGTAAGGCTAAGCCACTTACGTAAGTTCTTTTGGTTCTTTGTTACCGGCCAATCAACTATGGCTTTTACCTTAGCGGGATCCGCTCGAAATCCTCGCTTACCAATAAAGCACCTATAATGGAATCTCTTTTGCACCAAAGATGCACTTGGACGCGTTGGCGTACAACTTATTCGTTCGCATGCACTCACGCACCACTCGTAAATGGTCAATATATTTATCCACATCTGACCGACCGTTCATAGCACGACCATTAACAAAGATGTCATCAAAGTACGTCTGTAAATATCCTCGGTGAGGTCTGAACAATTGTGTCACAAGACGATTGAATGTAGCCGGGGCATTTGATAACCCTTACGGTATAACAAGCCACTCCCAGAGCATACCGCTTGGAGTGCTGACCGCTGTCAGCGGGATTTCGCTAGATCACATGAGCAGCTGGTAATAACCATCGACTAAGTCGAGCGCACTGTACATTGTACATCCCACCATATTGTTCTGAAGAACATCCTTCCTCGGAATTGGTGTCTGAGCCGGGATGGTGGCCGCATTAAGCTTATTGTAAGCATGAACAATGCGCCACTTCCCAATGGGCTTTTTGACACAGAAGGTCGGTGTGGAATGGGGAGATTTGCTCTCACGTGACATTCCTGCCGCGTGCTTTGCACGAAAGAAGTCGTCAATGACATCACACTGTTCCTTGGGTAAAGGCCACTGCCGTGTTACGCAGTATTTAGTTCCAGGAACCAAGTCAATTTCATGACGTACACCTCTATCGGGAGGCAAGACGGACGGTGGGTTGTGACACACCACGTCCTGAAATTCCTTTACCAAAGGATAGAAAGGATCAAGAGGATCCTCAAGGATCGACGATCCACTGAGGGCATCCAATTCCGCCTTTGTGTCCTCAAGGACAGACTCGTCCAATAACGAGGATGAGTTCGACTCAATATCCGGCCGAATAACCACTAACTCGGATAATTCTCCTGCCTGTAAGGCTTGGCTGAATTCGCCGTCAGTAATTTCGCCTAGGTCAAAGAGAGTATCCAAGGATGGAAGAGTCTCAATACTAATATTGCCATCAATCAGGCCAGTCAACCCATTGACAAGTGTATATAGTGTATTTTTACTATCGTCACTTCGTGACTTCTTGGACGTTGGGCGCTTAACAGTCGCCATACTACGCTGAGATTCGTTCCTCAAAGAAACCTTACGCCTCCTAGAGGCCGGGAAAGTAGGGCCCCCGTGGGTGCTATTCATCTTAGCACGCTCTATACGAGATATCATGTCTTGAACGACATCTGGAGAAGTGTTACGTAACTCGAATACTTCACCCAGTGGATTTACACGTACCACTTCACGTACAGCATTCGGGCCTAGCCCTGAACACTCTGGCTTCTCGCCATCAATGATCATTACCGACATTCAGTGAGGTGCCACCTCGGCCGCCCTCACTCGGTGGGATTTTACGTGCCACCCCAATCACATCAGAGGAATTAAATTCTTGATGTCTCGGCCCTAGGCCAACCATGCCTGCAGCATGCAGTGACTCATTATCACAACGAGTATCACTCAACGGAGTATAACTTTCTTTACATACGGTGAAAGAGCTCCGCTCAATATTAATGTCATTGACATTGGAGGTAATTAACTCTGACATACCAATATTCAGCACATTGACATCTTCCGTCAATGGCTCGCGCCAATAGCGCTTTTGTTGTCTAGCAAAAGTGGGTTCATGACTCTCCAAAGCTTCGCTGGAAACATTGCGCGTGGCGCCTAAGGTCTTAGACCTCCAATCGGTCCATGGCTCATGGCGTTCGAGTCAAGCCATACACAGGATGAGATCGTATCTCGAATCCAAATCGAGGACAAGACAGCGTTCAATGCTGTCAAAGTCCAAAAGCTTCACACATAAGTTCAACGGAACTTTAGGCACCGTGACGCGACTACCAGTCGCTGAACGAACGGTGATTGAATCACCCTTATGCGCTTTGAGCGCTTCAGCGTATCGCTGACTTCCTTCAAGGAACGACGTCGAGCATAATTACATGATGCTCCGGAGTCGATTTGGATCGACCAATGCTTCTCAAAGCCTTTTGCTGTCGCCTCAGCGACTAACAAGCCAGGATTGTATCCACGCTCTGTGCTGGCGGGCACAGAGCTCGGTGGGGCTAAGCCCTGTTTTACTCTACCTCGTAGAGAAGCAACACAGCCTAATTCTACCCCAGTAGGGCGCCCCGCGCCTTCTGAGTGTCGACGTTTCCCCGTGCCATACCAGGTTTCTGGTTGTGGCTGGGGTTTCGACCCATAGGAGTCGGTTGTTGCTTACGCAAAGGACAAGTGGGACGCAAGTGTTTAGTGCTTCTGCACATATAACAGCGTTTCACTTCCTGTCGTTGCTCTGCAACATGAAGCTCCACTTCACATTCATCTTCAGCATGGCTGAGATCCATCTGTTCTAACTTACAGTAAGCCGAGGTGCTCGCAGAGGTTGCCCTCGCAAAGATTGGGTTGTTCCCATTCAAACCAAGTCGGGCCGACTTGAAGTTGTGCTCAGCATTTTGAGCGATGCTAACAGCCTCCTCAAAAGTAGAGGGATGGACCCGAAACACCTCGGTCCTGGCAACGCCATTACGAAGACCTTCCATGAAGACAGTCACATAGACTGTCTCAGGGAGAGGGTCAGACGGCATAGCAACCATCAGAGTTCTCAACTCCTGGACATTTTCCGTTAGCTCATTCTTACCCTGACGGGTAGACAAGAAGCGTGAGCGCACGCGATAGGCCTGGTTAGGCGGCGAGAAAACTCGCAATAGGTCTAACTTGAGCGAATCCCATGTGGGAAACGCCAAGTCGACCGACGTGCCGCACGTCAGAGCCCACACTCTAGCTATTCCATCGAGCTTGGAGATGGCCAGCGAGACCCGCTGATACTCCAGTGAGATAAGGCCAGAGCTCATGGCCATCTCAATCTCACGGATCCAGAGGGTCAAGTTTTTTCCTCCTTCCCGGAGTAATGTTTAGCGTCCACCCTAAGGGGACGAAGCTTAGCCTCTTCATTTGGCATCGCCACGTATCATGTTGGCATTGCCGACGCTACTTGGTTTTGAACCTGCCCTAAAAGGGCCGTTTCATACTGCATGAAGGTCTCGACTCGTGCATTGAGCACATCGGGAACTTGTGCAGCTATAAACTCAACATATTCTAGGCCTACGGCCGCTATCAGCTTATCAAGCGCGAACTTTTAAACCTCAGAGAGGGTGTGGATTGCTCCATCCACACAGAGGATTAGTCGTTACCGACTCAGGCGTATATTGACTACGAGTGCTATCAAGTGTTGCGGAGCTACACAGCTCCTTTAGTCAGAGGAAGACTTAACGCTCAATGAGCAACTTTGGTTCAACGAACCCGACTTAAGAGTCAACAGCTCTACGAGCAACTTTGGTTCTAAGAATCCGACTCAGAGAGTCAACAAGCTCAGATAGCTTACGGTCCCTGTTCCAGGGGGACCAAACGATTCAAGAGAATCACAGCACAGAGTGCTCAAGAGCAGCTACCTTTACAGGCGTTGCTAGCTCTTCCGATCAAGACGCCTCGTAAGGCACGTGTCTTATGTTGGTCAAAATGGGAACTGAATTTTGTTTCTTCTTTTAACCTAAAAGAACACCGTAGAACAAACTAAATAACCTACTCACTTATGTCCTAAATAAACCTATTAAAAGATCTCGTAATCAATGGTTGACAGACATCAGTCTTCAACAATTGATACTTGTGTTCTAATATTACTTTAAAGGGGATCCCATCCCTTGTGTGTACCACACCTATTGTCGACTACCAGTCGACGTGTAACCCCGTTACAGAATAAGACCGCGGTTGCCGGTCGCATATCTGGATGGTCAAGGATAACTCGCTGCCTGTACGAGGTTCCCTCTTCAATATTCTTGGATGTGCTTCATTCTTATCGCAATCGATGTGGGTGCTACATACATACATTACGTCTTGACGAAGTCTGTGTAATAATAATAAGCGTTCGCTTTAAGGCGAGCGAGATCAGTATTAGGGTGTTTAATAATGCTAATTCAATGAGCCAATGGAGGGTGAGTGGTGGCTAGCGAAAAGTGAGTGGTAAATAGCGGCTCCTTTAATATATTTAAGTTCAAAAATGTGTCCTGTCCTATTAGTCTAACTTACCTATACAACTACCAAAGCATGTATAGTGACGTCTACTCACCACCCATTGCGCGCGTCTAGCAGCGATTGGTGGGTTGATAACATGGAATATCAATTATTGAGTAGACCCATGGGTCACGGCAACGATATCACTGAGCTTAGTGCTATTGTAGTGAGGATATTAGGCTTACTATTCTCTATTAGCATATTGTCACAAATTATAATATAATATGTAACAGGCTCGCCCCCTTACATTCTGAGCGCTCTGTTCTCAAGAAAGCGGACGTGCAACTCGGACTTGTTGGCACCTTACCATTTGCTCCCTGACTCGCTCGAGACTGACAACGACATCACCGACGATGCGCCTCCACACGTTCACGCTCGTCGTGTTCACTGCGGTTCTGGCGCACAGCGCGACCTTTTGGAAGACGTCCAACTCGACGAAGACGGAAGGTGCTCCCTCGGCAAGTCTTCGTTCCTCTGACGCGTGCTGCGATGACGTCCCTGTTGAGCAGGGGCTGGGTCCACACGAGACCACGGCGGGTGAAGAGAGGACGCCAGAGCTACATATCTTATCAAAAATCAACGAAGAAGTTGCTCATTTCGTGGAATTGGTGTATGCGCATGAATGTAAGACCATGCCCGCGGTCGAACACCTTCCTGTGTACGGGCAGCGAGTATTCGATGAGAATGCTGTCAAGTACTCTATTCGTTTCAACGTGGGACACATGACACCAACGAAGTTGCTGGAAAATGCAAAATTATTGACTATCGGGCTGCGAATGATGCCCGAAGATGGACCAGGACTGATCGCAAAGGCTCGCCAATCTTTTCTTGCACACCAGGTGATAATAGGAGTGGAGGCTCACCAATTTCTTGCCTACCAGGCGGAATTGACAGCAGATACTCACAATAATCTTCTTGGACGCCAGGCGGAGTTGACAGCAAAGGCTGATCAATTTTTTCTTGCACACCAGGCGAAAACGACAGCAGAGGCTGGCCAATTATTTCTTGCACACCAGGCAAAAATGACAGAAGAGGCTTACAAATTTGTTCTTGCACACGAGGCGAAAATGACGGCAGAGGCTCGCCAATATTTTCTTGCATACCAGGCGGAAATGACAGCAGATGCTCGCCAATATTTTCTTGTAGACCTGGCAGAAATGACAGCAAAGGCTGACCAAATTTATCTTGCACAGCAGGCGGAATTGGGAGAAGAGGCGATACTGCGATATGAGATGGATCCCAGTGCGTATTTCAACATCATGTTCCAGAAAGCCAAGGCTGATGCATTAAAGCGGGCGGACGGACGCAATAGAAGCCCTATTACATCCTTGGACCTTGGCAGTCTTGACAAGTACATGCAGAAATACAACACGATCCACGGCTGCGACCTTACGTTGCGAAAAGTGATGTCTAGATGCATTTGTGACGATGCCGAATTTGCATCTATCCTGTCGATTATGAGTCTCAACCAAAAAAACAAAAAATATGTGGCGACCGTGCGACTGGAGCCTATTTTTGCGGACTCAAAGACCGTCGGAGAGGCTGCTGTCAAGCTAGGGATACCACCAGGAACGACGGAAGTCTTAGACAACAAAAATGTGGACTTATTTGTCCGGTTCACCGCTATCTTCGCCCGAGAACATGCAGGTCAACATTCAGTCATCGTCAAGCAGCTCACGGACATGTTTGGGGGTCGCCAGGCTGCATTACTGGTTTATAAAATGAACTGGAAGTGGAAAGCTTCATATGCGGCATTGAAGGAAGCGCTGTATAAGTATTTGGAGGAGAAAGGTACTACTCTTGATATGCTGCGCGACGAGATCATGAGGGCGAGAGAGAAAAGAGGTGGAAGCCCTAGAAAAATATGGTAATGATTTCGAGACACGGTGGGAAGATGGGCTTCTGGAAGAATATCGTGCCTTTGATAAACCTCGTGCGGAGCGAAAAAGAAAACGAGCAAGTGACACGAGCGCCGGTCCTTCGTGACTCTATCCGTCACTAGCAGCCGCCTGTGGATAACCGAAATCAACAATACATGCCATTCGTGAAACAGACCTGTGTTGTGCTAAGGTCAATCGCGGCAGATAGGTCAAATGGTGCTTGCAACTTCGTGGGCACTTTTGTAGCGTCCGCACACGTCCAGCTACGTCACCGATAGCAGTGCGAACATCCGACGTGCCACCACGCGTCACGAGTATGAAGTGCAGGCACAATCACTCGCCAGGGCAGCACATGTACCGCGTTTGCACGGCTCGGCTTCTTCCCAGCAAACAGCACACGTAACGACATGCTCAAGTGTTGGCTCACGGACCGCAAATGCGTGGACGGCTATGACACCGGGACAGCACCATACAGTCACCAATGCTGTCGCGCTAGGTATACTCTCTCCACGATTCTGATTGCTATTCAGGCAGTTGGACAACAAGGGTGCTGTGTTATCTACAAGGAAAACCCGTTTGCCCGTCCAGCATAAGCTCGCATCAGATGAGATCTGCTTTGCCTTTCGTAGTAAGTCATCCCACAAGCTTCCGTAGGTATAGCAACCACATCGTGCGCCTTCCATGGACTTACAGCTAGACTACCGCTTCAAATGCGGCTACGAGCACTACGCTCGAAAACGATACCAGAGCTGCAGTTTGGCCCACCAACATGACAAGCACCTCGTGAACTAAGCCAACCAGTAGGGCTCCTCGCGTTGCTCTAACCGTGCTGGTGCGGTACAGCCATGTACTCGAACAGGAGCAATGGAAGTCTTCCACGACCGCATATGTCGAGATAAGGGTCACACATGCGCCAAGAAGTGGCTCGCTCAGCGCCGGTCGTCTTCCACTTTGCTTGACGTTCATCATGGCACCTCCCTGGTGGACCATCCACCAGCGTTTGCTCTTTGTCGTGAACTTCAGAACGTAGTCACGAGTGCGGTGGTCGTCATCGGGTCCAGAATCGAGAACAGCACCACATCTGCACGAAGACAAGGAAGCCACGCTTTTTATTTCGGCTCGACTGTCAAGATCGGTCACAAATAGTGCAACTTCAACGGAATATCGCGAGATCCACCACGCGATGGACTCGATCGATTGCAACACGATGTTGCATTGTATCACGTTCTACATGACGGCACACGTGACGCGAGCGGCAAAGTCCACTGCGCTACTATTCCCATCGACCTCGTTCTGCCCAGTAGTTCACACAAACGAGTCACGTTTGGCTGGACATGTGAGCATGAAATAGGGATCTCGCGTCCTTCGTACTCGATGACCAGCATGCCAGTCAGACAGAATCTGTAACAAGTCGGAGCTGCAGCCGTTTCATACAGCTTGTGAGGAAGTGTTTACTGTGCTCAAATGAAAGCAGTCCAATGTCATCAGCGCATAGCATCGCGCGACAAAAATCTCCACGCGCGTGACAACGCAAAAAATCTGTCACAGAAAGTATAGGGAGACAAGCAAGCGAACCGCACAAATGATGCAGCACGTACGACCGCAGCATCAGAGCGTACACGCCATCGAGCCGCACGAGATCCCCACAAAAGTAACTCTTGACGAATCGAAGTGCAAAGGTCCTGCAACTTTTGCAATCAGTAAAGCTCTCGATACGCCCACGACCCGAGAGCTCACTTTTAGAGACATTCGCTCACATCTTCACGCTGCAGAATTCCGGCTGAGATATGTCCTTTGCCTCTGGATTCTACCTACGACAAACGCGATCCTCGGTTTACGCACTCTTGACGCCACTTGTACCTCCTTTGTAGGTTTTCTCTGTGTTGAGATTACGCCGCTTCATACAGTCGTTTTATGTTGGGTTCATGATGATGATATTTTTGTGTCAGGGCCTTTCGTGGTATTGGTTACGGAAGAAGGTTATGGATCGCGGTTACATGATAAGATCACAAGAGATCGTTACATTAAGGCTTCGACTTAGCTAAGGGCAGCGAACTAAGGACCTTGAATAAATTCGCTTCGGTTTCTACCTTCTTTGCAACAGGTTGACAGCCGCAGCCAAGCCTTCTTCCAAACCACGTCCTCGCTTACTATGGCGAACAAGCGAACCGAAGTCCTTCTGGGAAGTGGTAGCTTTTATTACTGGGAGTTTAACATGAGTATGACCCTGGCAAGGAAGGGTCTCCTAGGGCATGTCATGGCATTCAAGGATGAGAGTGACGTAACAGAAGCATGGCTGATAAACGACGCCAAGGCGCTAGGCATCACCGCTCAGGGGGTTGAGGTCCAGCACCAAACCAAGATTCGATCGTCTACGCGCGCTATAGAGGCATGGGGAACGCTCCGCGATTTCTACAACCGCTCGACGCTTCACAGTCGTGTGACGATGACGCGTCATCTTCACGGCTTCAAAATGGAGAGTGGGACAAGAATGGCGAAACATCTAGATTCTTTCGACGTATTGGTAGTGGGACTCCGGACTACGGGAGAACTGGTGGATGGGTTGCGCCAGCTGGTGGTACTTCTTAGCAGTCTGCCTTCTGAATACGAATTGATTTCGTCAATTTTTAAAAATGCGAAAGACACTACGCTGATTGAAGTCCAGGAGAAGCTGCTCAAAGAGTCAGAAAATATACAAAGGGAGGAGGCTACGGAGAAAGCATTTCGCACGAATGGGAATCCTGGAAGTTTCAACGGTGTACGGGTCAACGGTTGGAAAGGTGGCGGTTTACGCAATCACGGCGGTTTTTAGGGCAAGTGTTTCAACTGTGATAAGTTTGGTCACATGAAGCGGAACTGAATGGCCGGGAAACAAATCGGCGGCGAGGATGCGGTATTTGCAGGGAGCGAAGGAAGATCATCCGGATGGCTAATCGACAGTGGTGGAACGTCCCACATGACCTCACACAGAAATACTTGTTCGAAGACAAGGGCCTTGAGACAAATGTCGAAGTAACGAATGTAGACGGCAAGAAGTTGATCGTCAAAGGAGCCGGTACGGTAAAGCTGACCAGTTTGGATGGAAAAGGCATTCGCATGGTTGAAGTCCTGCACATCCCAGGACTCGAGAGAAGATTTCTTTCAGTCGGCAAGCATGCTGAACGTGGCATGAATGTGGAGTTCTCACGTTTGTATTGTGTCATCTGGAACAAGGATCAAGCTATCGTCTCGGGTATTATAATTGAAGAAAAAAATATATATGCTAGACCATGAGCAAGGAGAAGCTTGTCTCGTGGAATTATCCGGTGGTGACACTCAGTGGGAACTTTGGCATGACCGCATGGGACATACAAGCAAGGACGCGCAACTCAAGACTCAACGCTCAACTAAAGGCATTCCGACAATCATGCTAGGCACATAATACTGTGCGACGGGTGTTTATGGGAAAAGAGAACCGTCGCGACGTTTCCTTCACATTCAATGACGAAGACGACAAGTGTGCTGGAGCGCGTGCACGCAGACGTCATGGGGCCAATGAGAAATCCCTCCAAGCGTGGTGCCAAATACATTCTCAAGTTTGTAGACGATTATTCAAAATACGCTGCGGTCTTTATGATCAAAAGTATAGTGAAGTGACTGGCAAGTTCAAGGAATTCAGGAAGTTTTCTGAAAAACAATGGGGAGCTCGTTTGAGGTGTTTGCGCTCCGATATCGGATCAGTATTCGTCACTAAGAGGATGGCAGGCATACGTTAACAGAACGGCATAGTGCATCAGCGTTCCGTTCCTTACAGCCCTCAGCAGAACGGAGTGGCAAAGCGGATAAACAGGACAATCATTAAGAAGGCTCGGAGAATGCTACACTACAAAAGCTTTCTAACTGAATGATGGGCGGAAGCGGTGATTACAGCAGCTATTTGATAAACCGCTCCACGAATACGACTCACCTCGACATGACACCGTATGAGTTGGCTTATTAGATAAAGCCCCAAATGGACCACCTGCGCGTGTTCGGGTCGCAGGGTTTCACTCGTATAAATAATGTGAATAGAACAAAGTTGAAACCCAAGAGTTTCAAGTGTATGTTCCTCGGCTACGCAGAATATGTCAAAGGTTATCGTGTGTTTGACTTGGTAAATGCCACGGTCAAAGTTATGCGTTTAATGAAGTTGGATGAACGTGAAGTAATCGGCATTTACGACACTCAAGTGCTAAATTTGGAAGCGGTCGTTCACGTGACGAAGGACAGTGATGACATACGGATTCAGCATCAAGAAGATAGACAGCCAGATCTGGACGAACCCATGGAAGATGTTAAAGATCCGGTCACAGACGTGGAGATGGACGACGTAAAGATGGACGATGTGGATCCTACATCAATCGTCAGTACACAGCAGCTGATGCCTGCCGATTGCCATGTTGAAGACATGATGCAACTAGCAGAGTATCATCCACCGACTCACGTGCAACAAGGAGATCGTCAAGTTCTCCGACCTGAAGTGGAGCGAAAAAGAGGAAGACGTGAGCCGATGATGTTGCTTAGAAATTGCTTAAATAATGAAGAAGAACCAACAGAAGAAAGTGAAGGACCACCAACTCCGAAGCGTGCTAGGATTGATGAAGACGGACTCATTGCAGAAGCTGTATTAGCATACGCGGTAAGCGTTAACGATGACCCTGATGTGCCGAATACATATGATGAATCAGTGGCAAGCGACGACGCAGTAAAGTGGCATGAACCCATGAACACGGAGCTACTTTCCCATGAGCAGAATCAAGCAGGGACATTAAAGCCACGAAAGAATATTAGTCGCACGATTGGATCACGATGGGTCTTTGCCAAGAAGCGTGATCCAGATGGCGCGGTCGTGCGATACAAAGCACGACTAGTAGCGAAAGGTTACAAACAGAAGTACGGTGTCGACTTCTTCGATACTTATTCTCCGGTATCCAACATAAATATAATCCAAATAATTCTCGCGGTGTGCTGAA